ATAGTTAGATTTTTATGAAATCTACTAAAATACACTGGCCACAAATTTTAGCTTATTCTCTTAATAATATAGATTATTAAGAAGAAAAATTAATTTTTTTTAGTTCGTAAAAATCGAAAATTCGATATAGATTTTTCTTATTAAAAAAATTGATTGATTCTAAATTAAATTAAATTTTTTAAAATTAATTTGTACACGAAAAATTTTAAGAAAAAAAAATAGAATTTTTTAATAAATTACGGTAATTATTTTTATTTTGTCTATAAAGAAAAAGAATATTTTAATATAATTAATTTTTGGTAAAGATGAATGATAAAAATGTAATTAATAAAAAATGCAATACAAAAATAGTGAAATGGAATTTCATTGTTAAAACTCCAAATAGCAGTATATAATTCAAAATTAAACCGAGGAATTTTTCTCCTTGACTAAATTTTCACAAAAGTTGGAGGCAATTTGGGGTGAAGCCAAGCTCCAAGCTCCCTTTTACCGTGACAAAACTCTCAACAGATTCTGTCGTGCATCGGTAAAGCAATTATTCTTCTGCGCGTTTAATCCACTTTTGCATGCCGTCCTCTTCATTCGGTCTCTTCCATCCGAATGAATTAGTATTTCTATATATGTATAGAGATATATATATATATGTAGACATATATGTACATGTATATATATTAGTCTGGAGTCTGTACAGCCGCACAACGCATACCGATTCCTATTGTCCCTTTTCAGTATTTACTTTGGTGAAACGAATTGGATTTTTTAAATTTTCTCACGCAACTGACGTTTAATCGAACACCCCTCGATTCTCATTACAACGTGAATTCATTTACCAATAAGTATCTATTCATCCTAAAGCCCGGACCACGTTTTAATCATCGATATTCATTATTCATTATTCATATTCAAGGATTTGATCATTTTAATTTTTTTTACAACTCATTATTTCTTTTTTTAGTGAGCAGAATAATTTTAACTGTTCAATTTTTCATAAAAAAATTTATCTGATTTTCTATTTTTTTAATAAAACAATTTCAATATTTATTATTAAAAACAAAAGTAAATTTTTGATATTGTTGCAAGTTCAAATTATCAAATAATAATTTTATTGCTAAATAAAAAAAATATGCTTCAGAAAATCAAAGATGAATTACAAAATTTCACATTGCTAAAAAATTGATTCAAAAGCAAAAAAATTGTACGAGATACAAAATTTTAAAGAATTTAGTTTCTTTAAAGAAAAAAATAAAAAAAATGAAAAAAATTTACCTGAATTAATTTAATGCAATAAAAAAATTAGTGTTTAATTTGAATTTTACTTTTTTATTTGTAATATATTAAAATTTTAATTTTATTAACAGATATTTTTTTTTATAAATTATTAAATTAATAGATATTAATGCAAGTGACAAGAAAAAATTTTTTTTCACCTAAAACTCATAAAAAAAATTCATAAATTTTATTATAAAATCTAATTTTTAATGGTTGAATATAAAAAAGTAAAAAAGGGAAAATATGATAAAATATTTAACACAATTTTATCAAAGAGAATTGAAAATAAAAAAAGTCTCTTTTGCAGACAGCGATGATAGCGATGCAGAAGGAGGACTTGGAAATGTCAGCCGACTGATTATACGTCCGCCAGGACACAGCGGCAAAGCAAAAAAAGGTCATTTGTGCTTTGACGCAGCCTTTGAAACCGGAAACCTAGGACGGGTGGACCTAGTTTCAGAGTACGAGTATGACCTCTTCATCAGGCCGGATACATGCAGTCCGCGTCTGCGTCTGTGGTTTAATTTCACAGTGGACAACGTTCGCCTGGACCAGCGCGTCATATTTAACATCGTTAACATATCAAAAACCCGGAATTTATTCCGTGAAGGTATGACCCCGCTGGTGAAGAGCACCAGCAAGCCAAGGTGGCAAAGGATCCCTCGTCGGCAAGTTTATTACTACAAATCACCCCAGCACCAGAATCATCACGTGCTAACTTTCGCCTTCAACTTTGATCGCGAGGACGACGTTTATCAGTTTTCCCTCTCGTATCCCTATTCTTACTCCAGGTATCTCGGCCATCTTGACAATCTCTGCACCAAGTGCTCCTCGGTGAAGCGCGAGACCTTGGCTTCCTCCATCCAGAAGCGCAAAGTTGAGTTGGTCACCATTGGATCCAATGCTGAGGAAAAACAGAGGAGAGTTGTTGCTGTTTTGAGCAGGGTGCATCCCGGAGAGTCACCTTCTTCCTTTGTCTGCCAGGGGTTGATGGATTTTTTGGTCAGTGCGCATCCTATTGCTCAAGTTCTGCGCGATTATGTTGTCTTTAAAATTGTTCCGATGCTCAATCCTGACGGAGTCTTTTTAGGAAATTACAGGTAATTAATTTGATTGTAAATTAAAAAAAAAAAAAAAAAACGTGTTTGAATAAAATAAAAAATAGTTTGGAAAATTCAAAAGTGCACTTTTTAAGTGCATTTTTTAAAAAAAAAAGTAATGATAACGATAATTAAGTAATTTCGTACAGGGTATTTTTTATTTTTTTTTTTTTAAATCGACGTAATAGTTTTCACGTGAGAAAAAAAAATAGAATAGAGAATTTAATAAAATTTCAATTAAAAAAAAAAAATACGTAAGCTAGGCTACTGATATGAAATACGGCACCAGTTCATCCAATTTTTAAACTAATAACAGAAGCCCGGTCTCGAAATATCAATTTATTCGGGAGTAATCGTTGGTACATCCAAAACGGGGTAACATCAGAACAAACCTCTCTTAAATCGAAATGGTGACTTATTCTACTATGAAATAATGACTATTCACTATTTAGTAGTGAAAAGTATACCACTATTTGAATTAGTGATCTACTCTGCACTGCGAAAATAGTGAATAGTCACTATTTCGATTTAAGAGAGCACGTAAATTTTTTTTTGAAAGGTTTTTTTTTCAAAAAAGGAAATTAAAAGGTAGTACCTTCACGATATTTCAAGGAATTTATGGAATTTTTTTTATCGAAAAATAAATATATTAATAATTCACCACCAAAATTTCAGATCAATTTATCGCACCGTTTTTAAGTAATTAATTTTCGAAATTGCATCTTTTACACGTATATGAGGTATACGAGGTATAGAGAGGTGGTAAGAATAATATGAAATCTTCCGTACCACTCGAGTAATTAAGCTGAAATTTTGATGGTGAAATATATTTATTAATATATTTATCTTTCGATAAAAAAAATTCCATAAATTTCTTGAAATATGCTTTCCGTGGAGGTACTACCTTAATAATTGATTTTAGAAGAAAAGATGGTTTGATTTACGTGCATACATCTACTTATATTATTGTATGAGTGATTAACGATCTTTGTTTTGTAGTTTTTACAGTTTATGTGATGATTATTCTTATAAAAATGTAATCGTAAGGTTTTTCACTATCGAAAAAATTTTAGATAAAGAAAATTTATTCTGAAAAATTTCTTTATCTTAAATCAAGCAGAAAAATTTGTGTAATAAATTTTTTATTTAACCTTGATCTAAAACAAAAAAATATTATTGGCTCAAAAGTTTTTATCTAGAATCAAATTAATTTTCTGTTTGTAAAGATTTAATATTAAAAAAAAATTTTTGAATATTTTCCCTTAAAAATCTTCTCGAATTGAAAAAAGAAAAATTCGCTCAAGTTAAGATAACTTTTGATTTGACGTAAAATTGTAAAAGTTAAATTGAAAGTTGACTTTAACAAAGATTATATAATCGACGAAATGATATCTTCAGCAGAATAATTTAAGAGCGTTGTTTACACTAGATCAACGCTGATGGGTGTAGATCTGAATCGGGCTTGGAATAGAATTTCGGAATGGATTCACCCAACTTTGTTTGCGACACGAACACTCTTAGAGGGTTTGGATAAGAATGCAAATGCGCCTCTCGATTGTGTTATTGATTTACACGCTCATACTAATGCCAATGGGTTATTTGTTTATGGAAATACTTACGATGACGTATATAGGTAAGATCATATGACCTTTTGCTTTATATTTATCCTTATATATTCTGATATTTATTCATTAAATTTATTTTGTCTTATTTTACAATTTATTTTTTGAAAAATTTTATTTTACTCCCGCACTATTGATGAAAATTTAATAATAATTCACAAATTTTAAACTTTTAATTTCTAAAACCAAAGTTTCTTAGTCAAAAACTAAAAAAAAATTTCTGAATGAAAAAAAAAAGTTTAACAAAGCTTTAAAAAAACACTATAAAATTTGTTATTTTATGAATTTAAATGTTATTAAAGTCAGCATTAAATTTCATACAAATAAATATTCCATCAAACATTCAACTAAAAAAAAAAAAAAAAAAAATCATCAAATACTTCAATAAATATTTAATCACGAAATTCAATTCGCTAAATTTAATTGCTGTTTGTTAAAATCAATAACTCATCACCGTGTTTCACAATATCTCTATTTACAAATAAAATCACTTTGTATTCAAATCAACATCTGACATTTTTGATCACCAGCCAAATAAAAAGCGTCTATAGATAAAAGCCGCAAATGAAATAAAATAAGATAAAAAGCATAATTGAATAAAAATCACACAAATTTGTTAAGTAAAAACAAAAGTATGTAAACTAGAGCTGCCAGCCTTTCAGGTACGAAAGACACATTGTTCTCCCAAAGCTCTTGGCTCAGCACACAGAAGACTACAATCCAGACAATACAATGTACAACCAGGATCCCCATAAAGCTGGAACAGCACGTCGTTTTTTGTGCTCTATTCTCAGTGAGCACGTCAATTGCTACACGATTCAAGTCTCCATGTATGGCTATTACCGTAAAGGATCTCCTGAGCTTCTTCCTTATACTGAGGAAAGCTGTATCCTTTTTCAAATATAAAGCTCTCTTATATTTTATTTTATTTAAAAAAATTAAACCAATAACTTTAAAAAATCACAAGAATAATAATATATAAAAATAATAAGAACTAGCAACCTTGCAGTCACTATGTGACTACCGTGACTTGTGAACTATAAAAAATTAAAATTTTGCTTTATTAAATAATGACTTTTCTTAAATTGCACTGTAATTTCTTAACTATCGACGTTTTTAAAGATATAAGCTCATCTTGATGTTACACTCATCAAGAGCTTTCATTTGAGTACCCACATGCATTTTTGATATATTTTTTATATATACATATATGTAATATATATAAATATATGAAAAAATGATGTAGGTATTCAAATGAAAGGTCTCAATGAGTATAACATAAGAATGTACTTATATTGACGAAAATGTTAATAATTAAGGAATGACTATTGCATTTTGTTAAGTAATGATGTTTTTAAAGATATAAGCTCATTCTGATGTTACAGTGATCAAGAGCTTTCATTTGAGTACCCACATGCATTTTTGATATATTTTTCATATATACATATATATTTCATATATATAATATAATATATATATATATAAATATGTGAAAAATTGATGTGGGTACTCAAATGAAAGGTCTTGACGAGTGAAATGTCGGGATGAGCTTATATCTTTAAAAATGTCAATAGTTCACAAGATACAAGGTCATTTCTTAATTATGCATCTAGAGATAGAGCATTTTCGAATGCAGTCTAAATACTTATGATTGTCCTGGAGACAAAATTTTTCTTATTCTTTTAATAATATAGTTAATAATAATAATAACTTCTGAAATTAAAAAAAAAATAAATTTGTGTTCTTTCATATTACAAATCGACATTTTTAAAAAATCTTGAAGTCATTTTAAAGTAAAACAGATTTGTAATTTGCAAAAAATGAATTCCTTAGCTGGTAAATTTGGGATTTAGATTACAGAGTAGGACGAAACCTAGCCCGAGTCCTGATGGAGTATTACAAGCTGACAGGATTGATACCCTCGGGACTACCCGACCAGCCGTCGAACAAACGGGGCCGTCAATCCAGACAGAGGTATCGGCAACCCCGGGATCCACGACCCCGGACAGCCAGAACGCCTGCGCCCTTACATCTCGCAAGCATTCACGAGTTCGTATTTTAACCATCATATCGTATCGCATCCCATTAAATATTTTTCATCTTTTCTTCTGGATACTTTACCTACCTCTACATCTCCATCTACCATCCATCTTTATCTTTCTTAGTTTATTTACTAGAGTCCTACAATCCTAATACCACTCCTCATTATTATTACTCACTCGTATTTTAAAACCCTTTATGCTTCCTACGTCTATTCTACTCTTAAATCCCCAGACATTCAATCAACTTTGGTATGACGTACAACGGATTAAATACTCTCATCAGCTTTAAATTTTATCTGAGTCCTGCTGACTTTTACTCAATCGTAGAATTTTTACTATTTTTTAAGAATTTTTGTTCTATTATGTTGTAATTTTTATATTTAAATCAATTTTTACGACATTTTCCAAATTTTTTACACTGAAAAAAAAAAAAATAAGTCTACGAAGAAATTTTTATATTATATTTTTTTGTCTGAGTAATTTGTCGAATTAATTAAAATAATTTTTATTTAATTCAAACAAAGAAAAAGCTTGTCAAAAAAAATTAATAAATTTAACTAATTAATTTCAATAAAATTTTAAAGCAAGATTTTTTTTTTCTTTACAAATTTTAATGATCTAAAATTGGACTTGGCAAATTTTTGAAAAAAAATTTTTTTTTTAATTAATTAAATTAGATTTAAAAAAAAATTTTTTTTAAAATTGCACACATTAAATTTTTTTAATTAAAAAAATTCCAAAAATTATCTGTTAATTTCAGTATCATAAATCAAACATTTTTAGTCGATGACTCTCAAGTTTATTAATACATAATGTCTAAATTTGCTAACAAGGTACTTCAAGGAAGACATGCCAGAATTACCCACGGGATCTCGGTACCGATCAATGAGCGGGACCAGAATGAACCTGGGGGCGGGTACTGCCAGTGCGATCGGCACGACCAGTGTCAAAAACCCGAGCTACAGGTATCGGAGCCCGGGGGCAGGTCCGCTGGACGCCGGCAAGTCTAACGGGCTCTTGATGATGCAAGGACATGCTGAGCCAAGACTGGCTATCATTGACTTCAACCAGCTGACCAGAGGTGGTCTGGACCGCGCAACTGGAAAAAATCGCGCTAAAATTCCAAGAAAGTCGCCCGATCGCTTCTCCAAATTTAGAAGATAATTATGGGCTTTAAATTTAAATTTTGTACATAGGCTTTGCACTCAATTTTTTTAATTTTTAATTCAATTATTTTACAAATTACAATTATTTTAATAAATAAATAAATTTAAAGTTTTAGGAGTCAAATTTTGAAAAAACAGCAGATACAATAAAATTGGTCAAATTTTTTTTTTTGTATTTTTTATTTTTTATCAAAATGTTTTTTCAAACTATTTAAACTTTAAATTAATAAAAAAAATTTAATAAAAAGAAATTAAATTTTGAGTCAAATTATTTTGAAAAAATTTATTGTTTTAAATCAAGCAAAAAATTTTTGAATTTCAATAAAATTGATTTTGACCAAAATCAATTTTTTGGTAAATAAAATTTTCTGCTTAATTAAAAATTTTCAAAATTTTATCTTTCAAATAAATTTCATTTTTTAACATTGTAAATTATTTATTAATTTTTTAAAGTATCAAAATTACTCTAAATAACTTCAAAATTCAATCCAAAAATTAATTAACTAATTTTACCTGTCCAAATTTTTACCAAGTAAAATGAACTATTTTTAACCCTAAAAAATTTTTCTCACCCTCCAAAATTCCAAAAATCTCAACCCTCTCCCCTTTCCCTCCCCCTCCAAACCCCTTCACAAAGCAAAAACGATCCCACAAAAACAAAACAAATCAGCAATTCAAAATTTACTGCCACGCCTTAGCAGGCCATAATAATTCACATGATAAAATACACGCTGAGCCCCACCCCTTTAAACTTCCGCTGCACTCGATTACGATGTACCTCACCCGTTTATTATCAACTATTTTTAATTCACTTACACCCTTACTAACCCCTCCGTTCTCTTCCATAAATAAATCAAACAACAAAAATAATTAACTTACCGCCTCTTATTAAAACAAAACCATTGTAAATTAATTAATAAACAATAAACAACAAATAAAAGCAACAAATTTTTTATTAAAAAAAAAAAAATCATACCTGTATGAAACCGTAGAAAGTTGATGGCACGTGCAAAGAGTGTAAATAAAATAATTTACACCTGTTCGAACTTAATTCGCGCGGCCAGACACCCTCGTTAAAACCTAATCTGTTTTTTCAATTATTTTAATGATAATTATTAAGACTTGATATTTACACTCTAGATACCTGCAAGCGCAACTACGTTAACTACTTTTACACATACATATATATAAACTAATATATAATGAGCACTAAAAGGTGCGGTTCAAAAAAACCCGACGAAACCCGCCTTTTATTTTTAATTATTAATAACTATAATTATTATCAATTACACGAATTTATTATGATTATTAATTATTATTAATTATCTAGCTATGTCAATGTAAGTATACTATAATATTAATCTACCGGTGATTATATAATAATAATCAACACGAATTATTAATACAACGTAATACAATGTAATCCGTAATGTAATATATGTAATCAAAAATGAACTAAAAACGTAAATAAATGAAACTAGCGAAAGAAGGGAGCAGACAAGCGGCCAGTAGCTTCTATCCCTGGACTCGACGAAACTGGGCTCGATGCTCGATGCTGCTGGTTCTCGATCATCGCGAAAGGGGTGGTTTTCATCCTCCATCCACAATCCGCCCTTCTAGCTCTCTCTCTCCAGCCCAGACTCTGTGTAGCTCCGTGCTGCAGATGGGGATGAAGTGTATATAATACTTGTATTTTTTCCTTTTCCAGTGCGGCGAGTCTCCGTGTGGCTCCCTCTGGAATCCGGGATGTGCAAAAGTGATCCACTACGATCCACTACGAGTGCCACCACCCTCGAGTGAGTACTCCCTCGGACACCCTCGATAGTCCTGGGACGTGTTGGGGTTGGCCGAGAGCAGGGCGGTGGTCGTTGAACCAAGGTATATATAGCACTGAGTATCTGCGTGGATCTCGGTGCGCGAATTCCCGATTCCGGTTTTATATATATATATATATATATATATATATATTGTATATTCTATATGTATGTATGCTATGGCGGTCTGAATGAGCGCTTCCATCATGTCCCGAACGTGTATTATATCCTCGAGCAATTTATCAGTCTGTCTCGCTTGGGCTGATGCCTGCCTGGAATTGCCCAACATCCCCTTGTTTAATTTCTACCCTGTGTGTATGTGTGAGGGATTGCATTTTCCCCATGATGCTTTCCGCGAATCACGTCGCTTTGCCACGGGAGTGGCTGCTGCGACGATAAACTCTGTTCAGAGATCTAGACGGTACAGGACTACTGTAACTATTACTATTACTATTGCCCATTGCCAAGAGGATGAGCGACGAATTCAAAGACCCTTGTTTGTCTGTTTCGATTATTTTAACGAATCAACGCTTCGATAGATGGATGGGTGATATGAGCGAGTTTGCAAGAAAGCTCTATTGAGTTTCAATACGAGAAAAATTGGAGTAAATTCTCACTTACACTTTGTTCTCGGGTATAAAAATTAAATATGCCCTGTATGGAGTGAATTTGGAGTTTTTTTTTTGGAATAAATAGATAAATACAAATTTTTTTTTTTTTGGATAAAAATTTTTCCTGGAGTTCTAAGCTCCTTTAGGACTATCAACAATATATAATTTTATTTTTTATTTTTTGTTTTTTGTTTTTTTTTGCAATTGCTAACACATCAATGCTCTATTCATTTAGCAATCTATCTATTAAATTTATAATTAATATTAACGATTCGAGAGAAAAATTCTTGAACCAAGAAAATAATTTTGAAGAGGGTGAAAAAATTTTTAATCAAGTAAAATTTATTTATACTTGATTCAAGAACATTTTTTTTCTGTTTACTAATGATTAACACTAACATATTAAACTATAAAATTAATGGTAATTATAATTACATTGATTACAAGAAGAAGTTAAAACAAGCTTGTTTAAAATGATCGAAGTTGTCAATTACTGTAATATTAACTGGTAATTAATTCCATATTTTTATGCCATAAATCAGGAAATAGTTTTCATGAATGTTAACTTTATTCCGAAAAATATGAAGATTTTAAATTAAGAAAGTATTCTTTCGTCTATAAATTTGACATAATTAATTTTTTTTTTATATTTTTAAAATTTAGATATTTAAGAATTAAATTCCTTCTTTAATTTAAATTATTTTCAGAGTTACAGGTATTTTTGTAACGTTCGTTAAGCTTCCCGAGAAAAACTCTAAACTTTAAACGCGTTTTTCTTGAGACTATTTTTTTTTCGATACGGTTAACGTGATATCTCAAATTCTAATGGACAGATTTACTTGAAATTTAGTACAGATATTTTTAATACTATCAAAATTGCTAAAATTGACCTTTTTTTTTTTTAAATAGACGCCTTTTTGTGAAAAAAATAGTATATTTTTAATGGTCGATGTTAAAATAATTCGAAATTCTTTTTGTGAGGATTTTAAGGAGATATTTGGTGAAAAAAAAAAAGAAATGGGGAAAAAAGTGGTTATTTGAAGAAATTATGTTTCGAGTTGAGAGTAAACATCTGATAGAGGACCCGGAACAAAGGAAGGAAGACTACTAGGGCAAAATAGAACGATGTAATTCGCAGAAAATGGAAGGCTGGTGGAAAAAGGATAACAAGTTCAGAGGATTTAAAGATACTTGAGAACATTTTTTAATGGAAATTACAGTGAGGAAATGGAAAAGTAAATAATTTATTTTTTGTAAATTAAACTCTTGAAATATTTTTAGGGTAAAGTGAATTTCTGAGGACGATTTTCAAGTGAATAAATTTAACACGATGTTTTTAGTCAAAATAGTTTTATTAAGAAAATTTTTTTCAAAACAATAATAATGATAATAATAAATTATATATTGCTGAAAATCATCAAAATTGATATTGACATTTTTTAGCGAAGAAATAAATTTAAATGATTTATCAAAAACAAATTTTTACTATAAAATTTTTGTATGAAAAATAATTTTTCATTCCTTCTATATTTTTCATTTTATCTAATTTAAATTTTAATAATAAATATTCACATCATAGAAAATTTTTCATCTATTAAATTTTACTCATTTTAATATATAAAAATTTGAAACTTTTCTTTGTTACAATTTTTGAGGGGGTCATCTGAGTGATCCGAACGGAAATGTAGCCAATGTAATAATTGTAAAGGAATTCAAAAAGTAACTTGCTCTCTAACAAGTTATATACATTTAATACTTCATACATAACACTTAATGTATGTCAAATAATAGTAAATTCTATATAATAAAATACACACATTAAAACATTTATTTTTGAAAATCTGAGATTTTTAGCGGGAAGTTAAAAAAATTAAAAAATCCAAGTAATCGATATGATTGTATATGATTTTCCGAAATTAGAAAGAATTTTGTTGTAAATTTAAAAATTAAAAAAAAATTTTGGAACGTATTTAGTGTGCGTGGTTGCAAAATATTTTACTTTTAATGAAATTTGTGAATTCTATTTACTAGGACTTTATAAAAATTGAAATACGCAATGACGCACACCAAGTACGTTCCAAAATTTTTTTTTTTTAATTTTTAAATTTACAACAAAATTTTTTCTAATTTCGGAAAATCATATACAATCATATCGGTTACTTGGATTTTTTAATTTTTTTATTTTAACTTGTAATTGCACTTTAAACATTGGGCAATATTTTTACCATTTAACTTTTCAATCACAAAATCATTTTCTTTTAAAAATGATTGATAAAGTTTTTTTTTGAATGCACTCATTTTGAGATAAAATTAAAAGTTTAGATTAGTTATTGCGAAAACTGTTGAAAGACGGTTAGAATTTTAAAAATGTACAATGTCCAATGATAACCACCAGGTGGCATACAAATCGACGTATAATACTGGAATTTAAGTATTTTACGTAGTTTACGTAAAATACGTAGGAAACTGCTCGTTACGCGTAACTACTCACCCCTGCTTATGACTTAGAAGGACTTAGAAGACAGATCAATTGTCGTTCTTTTGTAATGTTTCATGGGTTACAGTTTAATTTTTTTCATAAATATGATATCTAAATGTTTTAATGTGTGTATTTTATTATATAGAATTTACTATTATTTGACATACATTAAGTGTTATGTATGAAGTATTAAATGTATATAACTTGTTAGAGAGCAAGTTACTTTTTGAATTTCTTTACAATTATTACATTGGCTACATTTCCGTTCGGATCACTCAGATCATCTTAAATTTTTCCCGGGAAAATTTAAATAAAAGCGACTGCAGCGCTTCCGTCAAAAATTCAATTTGCGCACGCGTTCATTCTCACATGGTCTATGTCTATGGTCTGCCGTAACCTTTATTGAGCACTAAGCAAAACGAGTGATTATTAATTATCAAAGTGCATTAGTTAACATATCATGTTCAAATCACAACTGAGTAAAATAGTAACTGGATGGTAGGTATGTAATTTCTTATCGCACTCACTATTAACATTTGCCATAAAATTATTTTTATTTTTTTAAATTCAGTTCCTAACCTCCAAATTATCGCTTAATTTTTCCATTTTTATCAATCATTAATTAATAAATTATTAACTATTAACTTTCAACTAAAACTTGGAAAAAAATTATTAAAAAAATAAAATTAGCAATCAGCTGACAATTTTTCAGTTTTTAAAACAAATAAATTTCTGCATAAAAAAAAAAAACATTTTTTAAAATTACATCAACAATTTTTTAAGCGTGTTTAAGTGGAATTTTTTTATAAATTTTGATTATTTTTTAATTTTTTTTTTTAACAAACAAACTTGGTTTGATAATTTTATTTTTAAAAAAATTGCATTTTTTATTTTTTTAAATTTTTACATGTCATTTTTTTTTTCTAACTTTTGTTTGTCATTTTAATTGTCTAAAAAAATAATTAAATATCTGCTAAATTAATTTTCATAAATGTATGACATTAATGTTAGCAATTTTGATAATTTTTTAATTTTTTTTTAACAAACTTATTTTTAAAAATTTTTACATGCTAATTTTTGTTTGTCATATTTTATTTTTTAAAAAAATTATTAAATATCTACTAAATTTAATTTTATTAAAAATTTTAACAATATTATTAACTAATTATCATTATTTTGCAGGCTTATCATAACAGTTATTGGATTGTCATCATTCGTGGCCTCCAAGAGATCAATCACAGCGCGCAGAACCGAGGAAATGCTAGAAAGAAAAAGAGCACGTTTGGCTGCCCTTCAATCTGAAAATAATTAAAAAAAATTATTTTTCTTCTAATCATCAATAATTAATTTTTCTATTTATAATTATTATTACTTTAATTGTATTTTATTATTTAAGTTATAAAAAATAATAGTAGTTATTATTACTATTTTAAAAATTGTAAATTAAGAAATTAAGGCGAGAAAAATAAAATGGCTGGGCTACCAGAATTGGATGAAGCGAAGCTAAAGCTGGTCCAGCAGCTGGAGATAGAGATGATGTCTGACATGTACAACAGAATGACGGCCGCCTGTCATCGGAAGTGCATCCTTCCCTCGTACAACGAACCTGACATGGGTAAAGGAGAGTCCGTGTGCATAGATAGGTGCGTCGCTAAGTACCTTGATGTTCACGAGAGGATTGGTAAAAAACTCACCCAAATTTCTATGAACGAGCAGCAGCAAGTTGAAGGAAACGCGGCTTCTTCTTAATAAAATATTAAATTGAAAATTATTAATGGTACGTGCATTTTATTTCATTGGATGATGTAAAAATTTATCTTATGGTATTTTTCTTTTGTTAAATAGATAAATTACATTTTAGAAGCTGGTGGGCTTTTGATGTGTATGTTTAGTTGTTTATATCATTCACATGTAGATACATTATTGTATTTAGATTATTTTGAAAATAAAATGTAGAAAATTTATTTAATTGATTTTGTTAAAAATTAATTTAAGTCGACTAGTATTATCAATATTATGAAGAGAATAAGAAAAATTTTGTGTCCGGGATAGTCATATGATAAAATCGGTTTTTTTAAGTAAAATTTAGGGTCATTGCAAAGGTCTTGACTTCAATTTGTGCCTTTTAAGGTTTCATATCATTCTCACCGATAGTCAACTATATATCGATACATAACTAAGAAATCGCCTTGTATCTTGTAAACTATTGACATTTTTAAAGATATAAGCTCATCCCGATGTTACACTCATCGAGACCTTTCATTTGAGTACCCACATCAATTTTTCATATATTTTATATATTTAAATATATATTATATATATGTATATATGAAAAATATATCAAAAATGCATGTGGGTACTCAAATGAAAGCTCTTGATGAGTGTAACATCGAGATGAGCTTATATCTTTAAAAATGTCAATATTTAAGAAATTACCTTGTATCTCGTGAACTATTGACATTTTTAAATATATAAGCTCATCCCGACATTACACTCATTGAGACCTTTCATTTGAGTACCCACATGCATTTTTTCATATATTTTATATATTTCACAAATATCATATATATAAAATATATGAAAAATGTCATGTGGGTACTCAAATGAAAACTCTCAATAAATGTAACATCGAAATGAGTTTATATCTTAAAAAATGTCAATAATTAAGAAATGACCTTGTATCTTGTGAATTATTGACATTTTTAAGGATATAAGTTCATTCTGACGTTACACTTATCGAGACCTTTCATTTGAGTACCCACATCAATTTTTCATTTATTTTATATATATCATATATTTTATATATCATATGTATATATGAAACATCTATAAAACAATGCATGTGGGTACTCAAATGAAAGCTCTTGATGAGTGTAACATCAGGATGAGCTTATATCTTTAAAAACTTCAATAGTTAAGAAAGTACAGTGCAATTTAACAAAAGTCATTATTTGATAAAGCAAAATTTTATTTATTTATAGTACACAAGTCACAGTAGTCACATAGTGACTGCAAGATTGCCAGTTATTATTATAAAATTCACGATGTAACTAAACAATTTTTTTACATCCTGAATATTATAATTATAATAAGCAGTTTAATCAATAAAAATTAATTAAAATTTTTTCATTAATTTCAATCAATGAAATTATTAGAAAAAATTATTTAAATTAGGTTGAATGGATAAATATTATAAATAGAAAGAAACATACAATTTATTAATAGAAAATTTCAAATTTTATTCAATACTTATATTTATAAATTAATAATAAATGCAATAAATTGCATCAGAAAACCATTAAAAACTATTATATTTTACAATTAAATCATTCGTAATCATTAATCAAACAAAGTTTACAGAATTATCAATTAAATATTAAACAAAACGAATAATTGAAAAGCTGAAAAATAAACAAAAAAAAAATAATAGCTGAACAAAAATTGAATTAATAATTATTCTAGTTTTAAGAACATTAACCAACAATAACAGAGAGTCAAATATTATTGACTTATTACTAATTACTTTCATGAGAAAATAAATTAAGTATATCTGTCTTTACTTAATTAGATTCTCTTTTATCAAATTTATACACTAATTATACGTCTTACATTTTTTTGGAATTATTCATTTGATAATCTAAATAATTGTTATTTAAATTACGCAAGAGAACTTGCGTCTACGTCGCGACATGATTTGTACTGACGTGTTGGTTGTTACCACAGTAATTTATTAATAGTCAAATATAAATATTTAAGTAAAGTACTCTTAACTATTTTCATTTAGAGACAAAAAAAAAAAAAAAAGATTATGTAAATACGGCACTGAGCTTTGATTAAAAAAGTAAGGTGGAATTAATTTTTATTGAAAAATTTGTGCACCAAGTTTTTTTTTTTTTTTCTACTTAGTTTTTTTTTTTTTTTTTTTTAATTGTTACTAAAAATAAACTGGCTATAAATTAACCAGCAGTTTTTGCCTTCGAAGGATGAGTTTGAGCGAGGATTATTGTGTGTTGCCCTCCGCCTGCAACTCGTACAACATTTTTGCCTTCTAATTGTTTGCTTTTTATTAGCACCGGAGTGTCGACATCTTCTTCTTCACCAGTACCCAGTTGGCCGCTTGTTCCCATACCCCAAGCATATAATTCTCCTACAAAAATATTATTATTAAAAAAAAAAAAAAAAATTATCTAGAATATTTTATAAATTTAAATAAAAAAAATATTGTTAAAAAAAAAATACTGTCTAGAATATTTTATAAAATAAAAAAAAAATAAATTTGATATTAATTAATTAAAAATATAAAATTACCAGAATCAGTAACAGCAAAAGATTGCGCACTACCAGCAGCAACATCAATAACTTTTTTCTTTTCTAAGCTTTCAACTTTAGTCAATTCTGTGGCATCATTACAATTAGGACCTAGACCAAGTCGACCGTATTCTTTCCGTCCCAAAACATAAACACAACCAAGATCATCGAGAGCTATTGTATGATGCTGACCACTGCTGATATGTTTCCATTGTTTATTACTAAAAGTTTTTGATAAATTAGGCTGGAAATATGGTACAGTGTCTTTAAGACCTGAAAAAATAATTAAAATTTTAATATTAATTTTTAATTAATTAAAATTTGTGATAATTTTTTCCGACATTCTAATTAGCAAATTATTTAATTTAACATTTTTTAGGAGGTGGTATTTTTATATGTTGAATACATTTTATTTGGGTAACTTAAAATTACCTACATTAAAAAAAAAATTAAGAAAAAAATTCTTAAACTAAAAAAAAGTTGAAAATTTCTTGAGTTAATAATTTTTTATCGATTTAAGTAAATTTAACTTAATTAAAAAATTTTTCATTCTTTTTCAAGACGATGAGACTATAAAATGATTTACAGTTTTGTCTGAGAAATTTTGACATAAAAAATTTTGTATGAAATTAATTATTTTCTCAGAAAATTTTTAATTAAATAGACCTTTATCATTGCAGAGATTTATAATTAGTTTTTTTTTTTTTTAAATATAAGTTTTCTCTGAGGCATTTTAAAGTTCAATGAAATTTTATGTAGAGATTTAAAATTTTTAGCTTGAATAAAATTCTCAATTTACAATTTTTCAGATAAATGAGGGATTTTTTTAAATATACTTAAAATATTTGTTAATTAGAACGTCAAATAATAATTAGGTAGTGATTAATAAAATACCTATTTGGTGATAGTTATTCAATCCAAACGCCCAAATATCGCCAGTCTTGCGATCTCTCGTCAAAGTGCAATACTGGCCAGCCCAGATGTCATCGAACACCAAATTACGGGAAACTTTAAAACCCACTAGCCCTGGAGTAAGTATATGTAACAAGGCATTACGGGAGTGTCGGTCTACTGATCTTGGCGGAATACGTCCAAGCTGTCCTTGCTCAGCGCATCCACAAGTGTAAACACGACCCCGGTCTGTCAGCATCACTAAATGATCAGCTCCAGATGCTATTTTGACTATCTTAATCGTCGGCAACACTTCTATCGGTAGACTCTCTTTGCCTCGAGGTGTCAAGCCCATACCTCCATGTGAATCCTGGTGAATAAAAAATTGTGTTGGAGATTCCAAAATATCATAAGTGCGAATTATAAAAAATTCAATGTTTTTTAATTGATAAAAATGATTAAAAAAAAAAAAATTACTTTGTAGAGTAAATTGTTTTTATAACAATTAAATTATTATAAAGAAAAATAAGTTAAAAATTCTACAGCTAGATAATAAAAAAAAAAATTGTCAATTCAACTTTGTAAAAATACTTTTTTTATCATAGTAATGTTATAAAAATTCCAAAAACTAGGATGTTTTCTAATTTTGGATTTTTTTTTACTTTAATAAAAAATTAATAAAACAAAAAATATCATTAATTAATAAATTTAAATGTTAATATATTTTGTAATTTTTTTTTTATTAAAAAAAAATTTTTTTTAAGAATTTTATACTCACATTTATTAAAAAGTGTAATTAATATAAAAATTGATAAAATAAAAAAAATAATTACCCTAAAAGATCCCCAGGCAAACACTCGTCCATCATCTAATAAGGCAGCGCTGTGGGAGTCACCTGCAGTCACTTGAACAACAGTACCATCCAACTCCACCGATCCAGGAGTAGTCTCTGAGCCCTCTACTGAAGTATCGCGTCCCAGTGCTCCTTCGTCATTGCACCCGAAGGTCAGTACCTTGCCGGACTTGGTCAGACAGACGTTGTGCATACCTCCAGCGGCTATTGCCACTATGTCATTGTGCCCCGGAATGACAGCTGGTCGGGTTTTCTCCATAACATCTTCACCGAGGCCCAATTGTCCCACATCACCTTGACCAACTGTGAGCGCAACACCTGGTGTCGTAATACCTCGTAGATCTGGTTCTACAACCTTTTCTGTAATACACAAGTTGGTTAATTTTTTTTATTATAAATTACATGAAATTATTTTTACATAAATAAAATAAATAAATAATTATAATTTATTTACTTAATTTAAAACAAAACATTTTAAGAAATAAATTCAATTGTAATTTATATTGATAAAAAAAATTCAATGTTTAGAGTCTTAACCTAACTACGGTGCGACCGCAATTAAATTATTAATATTTATAAAATAATTATTACAAATGAAGATTAATAAATAAAACTCACCTTTCTTTTTCATCTGTTTAGGCTCATGAACTTCTTCCTCTTGAACAGGAGTTGCTGTGCGTTTAGTTCCTCTCCTTGGCGGCACTACAAATAATTTTCAGGTTAGCTTGCAAGTTTACAAATAATAAACACGTTGAAAAAGTAAATATTAACTCTAATTATTAAAATGAATGTTGAATAAATAATGGTACAGGTAAAATTAATGAAATTAATCAATTACTCACTTGTTTGTTTGTTTGTTTATTGGTAATTAAAGTACACTTAACGGGGCTTATGGTGGTTGGCGCCAAAAAATACACGAGTTTTTAATGTAAGTGAAATAAAACGTAAACGGTTATATATATACACTTGCGTGGTATGAATCTGCCTGTGTGACCGTTGGATCGTTGGAATATGGCCGAAATGGTGGGAGACGAAAAAGGAAACACCAGCGCCGGTGGCTGGATTATGAAGCTCGCAGTGGGGAATCGGAGGATTTTTTATAATGTGTTATGTTTTGCGGGTTAAGTTGTGTGTGTTGTGTGAAGATGCTCCTGCGGTTGGAAATGTCGGAAATGTAGGGTTGATTGAAGTTATTTTAGTCTACAAATGGTAAGTTTTTTTTAATAATTATTATTTATGGTGGAGGGACCCTGATAGCCAGTGCTTTCTCAGTAAGTGTTGACTTCCAGCAGTTACGGTTAATTTATACATCAAGTTGGTGGTAATTCTTCACTCAACAACAGTTGTAAGCAAATTGACGGAAATCTACGGCCGCAACTTGAATACAAGTTAACAATCAAACTTATAGTTAAATTTCCTTTCAACTTTACTACAATTTGAAGGAAATACTTGTACAGCAAGTTTTGACGTCTATTTGCACAGTAAGTTATAGGTAACTAATAGGTAATCGCTCGCTTTGCCAAGTCTTTCCGTCAAGTTTGCTTCAAATTGCGGACGTAGATTGACAGTAAGTTATAGGTAAGGTAGCTATCAGGGTACTTGCTTAAAGATTGAAGAGAAAATTTCCTTATCGATCATGTGTAGTGATGTAATATCCACGTTCGATAATAAGGACATTAGTTAAGCGAACGGGCGGTAGAACAGAGTTCCAGAGGTACAGTTGTTTCGAAGCGATACTGATATTACCAATCGTGGATTATTCAGAAATTCATGATGACCGAAAATACACAGTGCCCTGATAGCCACCTTACCTATAACTTACTGTCAATCTATGTTCGCAATTTGAAGCAAACTTGTCGGTAAGAGTTGGCAAAGCGAGCGATTACCTATTAGTTACCTATAACTTACTGTGCAAATAGACGTCAAAACTTGCTGTACAAGTATTTCCGTCAAATTGTAGTAAAGTTGAAAGGAAATTTAACTATAAGTTTGATTGTTAACTTGTATTCAAGTTGCGGCCGTAGATTTCCGTCAATTTGCTTACAACTGTTGTTGAGTGAAGAATTACCACCAACTTGATGTATAAATTAACCGTAACTGCTGGAAGTCAACACTTACTGAGAAAGCGCTGGCTATCAGGGAAACGAGAGCACAGTGCCGCACGTTTGCGCTATAAACGTGCAAGAAGTTTAGTACAATAAAACAAAAAAAAAGTTAAAATTTTCAATTAAAAAAAACTTTAAAAAAATTATGTAAAAAATGTAAATACTAATTTTATTTTTATGTTTGTATTATTCATGATCCACGAAACATATATAAAAAATTAATGTGGGTACTCAAATGAAAGGTCTCAATGAGTGTAATGTTGGGATGAGCTTATATCTTTAAAAATGTCAATATTTCACAAGATACAAGATCATTTCTTAATTATTGACATTTTAAAAGATATAAGCTCATCCCAATGTTACACTCATCAAGAGCTTTCATTTGAGTACCCACATGTATTTTGATATATTTTTCATATATACATATATATAATATATATAAATATATGAAAAATTGATGTGGGTACTCAAATGAAAGGTCTTGATGAGTATAATGTCAGGATGAGCTTATATTTTTAAAAATGTCAATAATTCACAAGATACGATGTCATTTCTTAATTATGTATCTAGAGATAATTTTCGAATGCACCCTAAATACTTATCATAACAAATTGATTATCGGCGAGAATGATATGAAACCTTAAAAAGGCACAAATTCAAATTAAGACCTTTGCAATGACCCTAAATTTCACTAAAAAATCGATTCTATCATATGACTATCCAGGATACAAAATTTTTCTTATTTTCTTGATAATATAGATAAATATCTACTAAATTTATTTTATCCTATTGTTAGATAGAAAAAAAACTAGATAGGTAAAATAAAAAAATAAAAACACTCTCATCAATAAGTTTTGATTGAATGCCACTTTTATTTTATTTATATTTATTCTTATATTTATTTTCCTAAGCGTATTAATATAAAATAGATAACAAATTTTTCAATGATTGATAGTCGGCTTGAAGGTTGTATATTGGGGCGGTTTTTCCTTCTTGTTGTGTGGCTTCAAGGTGGCTAGACGTTCTGGCTTGAGAAACAGCTGCTCCGCCTGCACATTTATCGTCAACTACTATCTTAGAGTCATCATCATTTATATTTTTTACTATCTTTACATTTATTACCGTCTCTTTTATTTTTTGTACTTTATATTACACTATCTCTTTTATTTACAACAGGCTACTACACATTCTACTAATCTTAAGGCAGAAAGGATTATTCCTGATAAAATCGTAAATAAATCAAATTAAACAAACCAATTTGTTTACTTGGTTTATAAGACAAATTTACCGAACAAATCATAGTTTTATCTATGCAATTTTTTTTTTAAACAAAAAGCAAAATTCTATTACGTCCAAAAATAAAAAAAAATTTTTTTTTTGGCTTGCTTAATTTTTTTCTAGAGGATCAAACTAAATTTTGCAGGGTAATGCACATTCGGGATAAATTTTTCCACAAAATCTCAAAACTAATCAATAAAAAAAAATTACGTGACGGGGAAAAGAATTCAAAAAGCATTAAGAAAAATAAAGGAGTTTTTTGATAGGATTAAAAATTCAAGGGTAAAGAATTATAAACAAATATAATTATAATTACATCCTTATTTTTAAACCCCTCCCACATTTTTTATTTCATTCAATATGTGCATATATTTAATTGTAAATTATAATACATAGATTTTTTTTATGAACACAATAATGGCTTGAAGCTTGTCAAGTTATCTGTACTTCTTAATGCATCTTATTTTAATTAAATCAATTGTTATAAATAATTAAAGATATCAAAAGAGCGGAAAAAATAAATTTTTTTCTTGTATTGATTTAAAAAATGTTACTGAAATAATTAAAAGTAGATTTTTTTATTTAAAAAAAAACTTAGAACCAAAAAGACGGACATAAAGAAAATTTCATTTTTATTTTTGAATTTCTCGCTCGAAATTGAAAGTCTTGAACTGATTACAAAAATTCGGGACTTTGAAATTTTATAAAAGTTTCATTTTTTAAAATTTAATTGAAATTGAAAATTATGCAATTTTTTTTTTTTATATTCCAAAGTTTAAAATATTCAAATTCTGAATAAAAAATTTCAAAATTAAAAATGAAAATAAATTTTTTTTGTGCGTCTTTGTGATTTTAAGAAAAAAAATTTATTTTTAATTATTTAAGTAAATTTTTACATGTTAATAGAAGAAAAAAATTTTTTCATACACCCCTTTGCTATTTAAGTACAATATTAAGTAAATTACGTGAGATAATTATACAGAGAAAATCATGTAATTTCAAGATACGATACTTGGATTTTTTTTTTATTAATTTTTTTTAAGTAAAAAGATTTTTTGTAATATGATTAATAATTCTGAATTATTGTACATGTTCTAAAATCTTAAAACAGTCAAGATTATTGACGTTCATGCTTGATAAATTAAAAATCGAGCCAAGATTTTTACAACCTGATTTTCTCTATAAAATAAATAAACTAAGGGCTAGTTTTTCAATCATGAAAATTAAGTTAGCCGACATTTAAAAATTTTTAGAATTGTTTTTTATTGGATAATTTATAACAAAAAAATTTTTTAAAAAATACCACTTGTAAAAAACTTCAAAAACTGTAAGTGAAATTTTTAAAAAATATTTTTCTGTTTTAATTTAATTATTAAAAAAAAATCAAATGATTAAAAACGTCGGCTAACTTTAGTATCATTTTCAATCAATGATAAAAATTTAATTATTATATAGATATATTCACAATAATAATTGAACTTTAACCCTTGATTGAAAAACTGGTCTTAAATATAAATTTTATCAGAGCAAAAAAATGAATAAATTAAGCACTAAAACAGTACAGAAAACAAACAACTTCAAGCATTGGTAATTTAATATTAATACAATATACAAAAAGATAATAATAAGTTTGTTTAGTCGGCAACTAATTTAGTAATTGCTCAAATACTAAGCTTTTTAATGTTCCCGCAAATATATTTAAACTTATATAATACCATATCACTCTTCACCATTAATTAATATTTATATTTATATTTAAACTTTAATATTAATATATTTATATTTATAATTTATAATTTATTATATAAGTAATTTAAATTTATTAAATCATCAGTTTTAAAATTTGATTATTTATTACATTGTAATAATTAGTCATTGTATTGGTGAATCACACTTATTCGGTGAGCGTCACAGGCAGGCTTGAGCGTTCATCCCTTAAACAACAATACCTATATAGCTTCTGAGTTTGGCAATCTCATTGTTCATAGTATTTTGGGGCTACCCTTAAGAGACACGTTCATCTAGGTCCTGTAACGAGGTCGCGAAACATTCCGGATTGAATTAGAATCGTTCAGTCTTTCGGTCTTCAGCCCAGTTCCACGCTGTAACCAAAAAATTCCTACTTCCAGGTATCGCGACAAAATAATTTTTTTTTTTCGTCTTCAATATTATTAATTACTATTTTCTTCTCACTTGCGTTAATATATACTAATTTAATGTTTTTATAAGGGCTAGTTTTTCAATCATGAAAATTAAGTTAGCCGACATTTAAAAATTTTTAGAATTGTTTTTTATTGGATAATTTATAACAAAAAAATTTTTTAAAAAATACCACTTGTAAAAAACTTCAAAAACTGTAAGTGAAATTTTTAAAAAATATTTTTCTGTTTTAATTTAATTATTAAAAAAAAATCAAATGATTAAAAACGTCGGCTAACTTTAGTATCATTTTCAATCAATGATAAAAATTTAATTATTATATAGATATATTCACAATAATAATTGAACTTTAACCCTTGATTGAAAAACTGGTCTTAAATATAAATTTTATCAGAGCAAAAAAATGAATAAATTAAGCACTAAAACAGTACAGAAAACAAACAACTTCAAGCATTGGTAATTTAATATTAATACAATATACAAAAAGATAATAATAAGTTTGTTTAGTCGGCAACTAATTTAGTAATTGCTCAAATACTAAGCTTTTTAATGTTCCCGCAAATATATTTAAACTTATATAATACCATATCACTCTTCACCATTAATTAATATTTATATTTATATTTAAACTTTAATATTAATATATTTATATTTATAATTTATAATTTATTATATAAGTAATTTAAATTTATTAAATCATCAGTTTTAAAATTTGATTATTTATTACATTGTAATAATTAGTCATTGTATTGGTGAATCACACTTATTCGGTGAGCGTCACAGGCAGGCTTGAGCGTTCATCCCTTAAACAACAATACCTATATAGCTTCTGAGTTTGGCAATCTCATTGTTCATAGTATTTTGGGGCTACCCTTAAGAGACACGTTCATCTAGGTCCTGTAACGAGGTCGCGAAACATTCCGGATTGAATTAGAATCGTTCAGTCTTTCGGTCTTCAGCCCAGTTCCACGCTGTAACCAAAAAATTCCTACTTCCAGGTATCGCGACAAAATAATTTTTTTTTTTCGTCTTCAATATTATTAATTACTATTTTCTTCTCACTTGCGTTAATATATACTAATTTAATGTTTTTATAATTTATAAAAAAAATATCTTTTGATAAAATTAAAATTTTAATATATTACAATAAATAATTAAAATTCAATTTATACACTAATTTTTTTATTGCATTAAATTTTAAATTAAATTAGTTAATGTAAATTTTAATTAGCTTCTAAATTTATAAAAAATTTTTTTTTTCATTAATTCAATTCATTTTTTTAATCACAAATAGATTAAAAAATTTGGTAATTACTTACAAGTGAGGTCAACTCCATTTTTGGTGTGAAAGAAAAAAATAAAGCTTTTTTGCCTTCAAAAGTTGGAAAAAATTTTAGCTCTTATGTTTTTGGATAAAATATCTATTTTATTTTTTTTTGATGTTTTTTTTTTTTTTTTTTTTAAGAAAAGTACATACATAAAAACGAACATAAAAAAACAACTTTGCAGTTATTGTATGACTGTGATAATCAACTTTTTTTTAATTGTTAATTTTTTTATGTATTTTTAAAAAGAAAAATATCTCAATAAAATCAAATAGAAATTTCGTTAAAAAAAATGAAAATTAAAATCATTGACCCCACTTGTAAATATTTACCAAGAATTAGAAATTAAATTATATTAATTTTTCATTAAAATATTTAATAAAAATTATAAAAAATATTAACGCTGGTAATTTTTTCTTCAATTAAATAATTTTTTAAAAAATCAAAATTGTAAACTTAAAAATAAAAGTATCCCCAGATTTTTATTAATAATTGAGAAGTTGGTGGTAGGTCCAGGTATGGAGAAGGATCATCTTGCTAGCATGCTTGGGATTCTACAAAAAACGGTGCAAATATTGATTCTAATGGGCTCAAAAAATATAGTAACTTAGTCTCTTTCTTAAAATTTAATAATAAAGTAAAACATGAAATTTTTGAAAATAATTAAAATTGAGTAATGAATTTTTGAGACAAATTAAACAAAAAAGAAAGAGACTAATTGAAGTGATTTTGCCGAAGCGCTAACAAGACAATCAACAAATTGACTACATCTATTTAAACAAGGGGTGGGGGTGAAAAGTCTAGCATCCATCCAAGTTCTCCATCATGGACTTGGACTCGAATCCTCTACAACCAACTTTATGCGTTAAGTCTGACCTGAAGTGTGTACTGAGGTCCATGAAGTTGTTGGGTGTGGTGATGATGCCTCTGGTAGTGTGGCTCGTGCAGAGGCTCATGCCGATTTAGTTGATAACAGTCTTGTTGGTATTGTTGAGTCGGTACTGGCTTCAACACGTGATTTTGACGTTTCTCTGATGTAAATTGTTCTCTCGCTCGCTCCATTGGCTCCACGCTCAGTCTTGGATCTTCTATCATTGCATTTGACGCTTTTGTACTGGAAATCATTCAATTTAGTTACATGGAAATCGCTCCACTGTGTTTCATGGATTACGTAACGTTAACAATCGGGGAAGAGGTAGTTCGAAATTTTGAAAATGATAGATTAATAATACTAGCAACTTTTCAGTCACTATGTGACTGCCGAGACTCGAGAACTATAAATAAACAAAATTTTGCTTTATTAAATAATTACTTTTGTTAAATTGTCCTGTACTTTGTTAAATATTGACGTTTTTAAAGATATAAGCTCATCCTGATGTTACACTTATCAAGAGCTTTCATTTGAGTACCCACATGCATTTTCATATATTTTTCATACATACATACATATATATAATATATATATATAAATATATGAAAAATTGATGTGGGTACTCAAATGAAAGGTCTCAATGAGTGTAATGTCGGGGTGATCTTATATCTTTAAAAATGTCAATAATTCACAAGATACAAGGTCATTTCTTAATGATTGATATTTTTAAAGATATAAACTCATCTCGATGTTACACTCATCAAGAGCTTTTATTTGAGTACCCACATGCATTTTCATATATTTTTCATACATGCATATATATAATATATATAAATATATGAAAAATTGATGTGGGTACTCAAATCAAAGGTCTCGATGAGTGTAACATCAGGATGACCTTATATCTTTAAAAATGTCAATATTTCACAAGATACAAGGTCATTTTTTAATTATGTATCTAGAGATAGAGCATTTTCGAATGCAGCTTAAATACTTATTATGACAAAATTTTTCTTATTTTCTAAACAATATAGATTGTTAATTTAAAGTTTTATTTTATACGAGTGTTGTTTTTTATTTTGTTAGATATTGTGCGATTTATAGTTCAAGGTATATGCATTAATTTGATTTATTATCCTGTCGAGTTATCTTAAATTAATAATTCAATTTATGAGTGCTTTTGCTGTGCAAGCAGTGTAGTGAGACCGGTTGAATTATTAACTTCTTCGTAGGGACTAATCTTCTTTGTCAGAATTTTATATTATTTATTCGTGGAGAAATATCATGAAAATAATTGATTTTTTAATAAAACAATTAATTAAAATTTATGAAATTTTTAACAATCACAATAATTAATTACTAAAACTTTGTAATTAAGTTTCAATTAAGTTATCATTAATTATTATTTTTTTGTAAGCTTAAACTTCTATAAAATATTAATTATAATTAATAAAACTTTCAAAAATTACAATAGCTAAATATTTAATTTTTTTAATTAAATAAATTACGAACTTTTAAATAAAAATATTTAAATAAAATAATAATACAACACAAAAGAGGACTTATAATCTAAAGAAGAACAATTTGTAAATGGAGTGCGGTATGTAGTTGGTTAAAAGCATTTAATGGAATAGAATTGTCACACTTAAAGTTTCGTCTGTAAAGTGTACTCATGAATAAATATAAATCTTACCAGTGAACTTGCTGAAGCGTCGGGCCAGTGTTTCTGGAGACGCAACATCTGTCTGAACGGAGAAAACAAATGAAACCCATTATCAAAACCGAGAGGACGGTGAATCCCGCCACTGCTCCAATAACCAGCGGTATCTATAAATTATTTATAATTATCATTTTATTTTCAATGCAATTTTTTTTTTAAATAATTTAATTTACCTGGCCTGGTTCGTCTACTCGCAGCATCAATGTCCGCCTATCGCTCCCGCGGTCATTTTCAACAATTACGTAATAAAGTCTTTGGTCCTCTTTAACAGTACTAGTTAATTCTAAAGTTGCAACAAAACAATCTTCTAATGGCAGTGGTTCTAAGTCTAATGCTCTGTACCGCGACTCCAACACTTCACCTGTTGATAAATTTTTTTTTTTTTAATTAAAAAAAAATAATGATCGTTATTAATTGATACTTTTGTTAACACTTCAAACTATTTCGTGCAATAACTTAAAAAGTCGCAGGTGAGAAAAACTGAAATTTAAATGTCTAAAAAAACAAATTTTCGCAGCAAAATAATACATAATTAATGAAAAAATAAAACAAATAAAACAAAAAGGCAAACCAAATAGATTACGAAGACTCTAAACTGGAAAATCGATGGATCTAACCGGCATGGAGTCTCGTGCTGCCCCACTCCCAGGCGACCAGTCGCGGCTTTGGATTCGAGCACAATCTGATTTCCAATCGGGCGGGACTTCCTTCTGTTGTCGATACGATGTATTTCTCGGTGCTTAATGGCTTCACTATCTTTAATCACAAACAGATCCTTTATGGTCAACTGTTTATTTGTTTATAAATTGTGGTTGTAATTCATCTGGTATCAATTTAGTTCGCTTCAAATTTAATCAATCAATATATCGCGTCACTAATTTTAAAAAGCCGTGTGGAAAACAATTTCTCTCAAAATTAAAATTGAAGGAAAATTTAGTAAATTACAGTTTTATTTTTGTTATTATGAGCTTATATCTTAGAAAATGTCAATAATTAAGAAATGACGTTGTATTTTGTCAACTGATGATATTTTTAACGATATAAGCTCATTCTGATGTTACGCTCATCGAGACCTTTCATTTGAATACCCACACGAATTTTTTCATATATTTTATATATATATATATATATATATATATATATATATATATATATATATATATAAAATATATGAAAAAATTCGTGTGGGTATTCAAATGAAAGTTCTCGCTGAGTGTAACATCAGGATCAGCGTATATCTTAAAAAATGTCAATAAATTAAGTAATGACGTAGTATTTTGTCTACAGGAGGTATTTTTAACGATATAAGCTCATCCTAGAGTTACATTCATCGAGACCTTTCATTTGAATACCCACACGAATTTTTTTATATATTTTATATATTCCACAAATATGAGAAATATCATATATATAAAATATATGAAAAAAATCGTGTTTGTACTCAAATGAAAAGTCTCGATAAGCGTAACACCAGGATGAGCTTATATCTTAAAAAATATCAATAATTAAGAAATGACATTGTATTTTTTTCACTAATAATATTTTAAAATTTCATTTTTCATGTCAATTCCCGTAAATTTAAAAGTTATTTTCTGCAAAAAATTTTTATTTTTTAAGCGCAAAAGCGTGTCGAAAAAATTCCTATTTTTCATTTCATATTTTCACTAAATTCTAACAATTTTGTTATTTTTAAATTGATTGGAAATAAAATTTTTTTTTATACACTCTTTTAAGTAACTAGATAATTGGTTCAATTTTTATTACAACGAAGCTCAAAACCAAATCAATTATGAGTTTTAATAATGATTGAAAAAAAAAAAAATAAAAATAATTGCTAAAGTTAATGAATTTTTACCCTCGGAGCTCCAACAACTTCCAGAGATACTGGAATGCTCTTAACTTCACGAACTTTTCCATTTATCGTGTTGGACGCTAGACATATATATTGACCCTGTTGCTCATAAGTAACATTTGTAAGAATTAGACGTTGACCTTTCCCACACTCAGCTGGAGGTCTTCCATCAGTAAACACTTGTTCCCATCTGTAAAAACATTTTCCCTCAATTTAGTTGGCATTGAAACAGTAATGTCGTTTTTATCGCTTCACATTGAATTAAATTTAATTTAAAAAATAATTGACGATTAAAATAGAAAAATAAAATTAATTTTATTACAAATAATGTTTACCTGTATTCAGCAGGTGGCATAGCGTCGGCATTGCATTCAAAAGAAGCTCCGGAGTAAAGGAGCGCGGTTGACAATCGATCTGGTCCAACAGAGTCTATTTTCGGCGGAACTGATAGCAATTATAATTAAATCAAATAAATAAAGTTAATTGAATTTGAATTTGGAATGGGTATTGTTTTAAATATAGATGGAATAATTACAATTAATGGATATCTGAACGGAAACTGGGCTACTTTCACCCTCGGTATTGGATGCCGAGCAGACGTAGGTCGCGGCGTGATTTCTATGGACTGGTGAATACATCAAAGCTTCCCCAATACCGACAACTTCCATGTCTGCGCCTTTTATTCGCTTCCATAGAATTGATGCTGTTGGATTTGCATTTGCGAGGCATCGGATTTCTAATTTATCCCGGCCTTCTTCTAATGGCCCTACTGGCACTCCGACGAGCCGAGTTTCTGGCGCATCTGAACAAATTTAACGTTTAATTAGTGAGCAGCAATCATGTGTGCTTTACACTGATTTTTTATTACAGTTAAACGATTTGAAACAAATCGTAAAATTAGTCTTGAAATTTAAATTAATGTCAGGAATAATTTTCTATAATTTTTTACCTTCCGTTACTCGCGCTTTGTCTAGTGTCTCACTCGTACTCACACCACCTTTATTAGGTTAAGTATAGTGTTCGACGGCGTATCCCCGTATAGCGCGAGTAACGAACGGTTAATAAAACAGATTACTTGAAAAATTTTCTCAATTTGAAATTTTTGAACAAAATTTTAATCCAAATTTTTTTGACCATTCAAAAATTTTAAAGTTTTCTTCAAAGTTATCTTTTTACAATATTGAACATTTTGTAAATATTTTTCATACATTTATAAATAAAATAAAATTTTTATTAAATTGCATAAATAATGAAAAAGAAAAAAAAATAACTCGAGATCTAAATTACGAAAAAAAAAAAAAAAAAAAAAAATAAACGAATTAGAAAAAGTAGATGAAATGTATAAAGCGTAAGCCTCCGAAAGTAAGTTAGTCACATGATACTCCAATTAAATTTTTTGTCGTTTGTGCCGGTTATGAGGGTGTGTGGTATGCGGGGGTGGGGTTGAGGAGGAAAAAAAATCGAGCGGATAGCTTTCGCAGCTGTCCATTTCACGTAACAATGATTTCAAAATACGCGCGAACGAATACCTGCTGACCCATTCCCAATTTTAGCTTTCCATTCTCCATTATTATATCCAGGCTTATACAACGTGTCACATACCAAATAGTTGGGTGTGCGTGCATACACAGCTTTTCGAATATGAGGGACAATTGTAGCCATATTAAAAGAGCTGAGGATTGACTGTGGGCTAAAACTGTATTATATACGCGAAAAGTATAAATTCATACATACACAGCTGAAAGTGCCAACATGACCCGCTTTTTTTCTCCAATTTTTTGACGACTCAAACGTGTGAAATACGTCAGCAAAAATGAAATGTAACCACCGCCATCGGCACTCCTGATTTTTTATATTTTTCATACTTCAATCGTTCAAGAACTATCCGCAAATTATTCACCTTTTTTTTTTAGGTCATCTGTTTGAATTTATGTCACTTTCATGTGTTACGTATGTTGAGTTATTTTTTAAAAATTACTAACACCAATATTTTTTGTTTTTTTATTAATTAACTGATCGGACAATTGTTGAATTGCCGATAGAAATTTTAAATAATTTTTTAATTAATTTTTTTAATCAATACAAATATTAATGATCACAAAATAACAATAAATAAATAAATCAATAAAATTAAGTATTGAGAAGAAATAAAAACCTAAACAATTGTTATTTATATATTTAAATAAATAAGGAAAGAAGTTTGCAAAATCCAAAAAGGCACACCTCATAATCCTCATTTATTTTTTAAGAAAAAAATAAATTGTGCAATTGTTTAAAAAGAAAAATAATAATAATTAAGTAATTTCTTACAGAGCATTGTTCATTTTTTTGTTAATATCAGCGCCCGTTTTTCTTTTTATAAGCGCACGCATACTAAAAGTGCTTGATTAAGTGGCGCCATAAATTTCACGTGAGAGAAATAAGAAAAATTGCTTAACCTTGACGAGTCGGGTATAAAGCACAACCTCTCGCGCTTCGCGCTATGAGCCGTGCAATTTTGTCTCCAGCGTATTTATATAATAGAAGAGGTTTTTTTGTTAAATTTAGTATAATTAGAAAAATCTTGATGTGAGTTTGTATTTTTTTTATATCTTTCGGCGATATGGTTAATTTTTATACGTTTTTGTGGAGTAGTTTTGTATATGAACTAATTCTGTCACATGTTTCCATTAAATTATAAACGATTGATCCTGTAATAATAATATTATTTTTAAAATTTATTTTATAAGTACCCAATTTATCAATTATATATTGTGATTAAAAATATCGCAAAATCATTAAGCCAAAATCTCTTTTATTCATAATTCATAAACAAATATTATGATTTTTGAAATTTCTCAAAATTTGTCCGACTATTTTTTACAAATACAAAAAAAAAAATTTTTTTTTAAAAACAATAGACTTTAATTCCTACAAAAATTTCTTAGAGTTTTATTTCGAATTTACTAATTTTCCAAGTAACCTTTTTAATTTTTTGAGCACATTAACCTATTTCCAATTGTTACACTTACAACCATTAAAATAAATACACAAAGCCCGAATCGGTCGAGTTGTTCCCAATCAATATACGCTCTCCAATATAACAAACAGGATTTAATTTTTATTTACATAGATAGATTTTATTTGTTGATAAACATAATGAATTTATGTAGAATGATAAAGTCCAAATTGAAATTTGGAATCTCCGGTATCTAAATTAATTCAGTGAATCGTTTATTCAGTGGGTTTTTCAGTGAATCAACCTCCGGGTAGCATGAATCCCGGTCAGTGGTCACGTAGTGGACCCGAGATCGATGCCGATTAAAGTGAAGTAGATATCCTATACAGAATCACAAGGTGGTTGAAATACGACGCTAGTATATATGAAAGGATTGGACATGTTGAGCCACTGAAATAGAAGAGGGGTCAAAAAAACCGAACCAATAAGAATAAGAATAGAATAAAAGTTTACCGAGAAAGAATATAAATATTATTCGAGTAGAGTGCTTTTTGTCCCGAGTGTTTTCTGAGTAACGTTACTTTTTTTTCGATTTATTTTATTGGTCATTTTATGTTATTTTATTTTTAATAAAAATGTTCATGCTTGCAATATTATGTTAACATTAATAATAAAATAATTTTTATATAAATGAATTAAATTTCGTTGACTCACATGTAACATCAAACCGCACTTCAACATTAGAAGTTTTCGTAGGATACGCCGGATGATTGGCTTCGCATCGAATGAGGTGTCCATATCTGGAGCGATCTGCCTCGATATCGCAAACACTCCTGGTGGACCACGTTCGTGGGTTATCAATCTCCGTGGCATTTACTTGCGGTCTCGTGGTTCTCAGCTCTGTGTCCCTCAGATACCTGCACGTACGCCCACACTTTCATTATCAAATCCACATTCTAGATGCTTCAGTACCAAATCAGTACAATACATACATATTTACATTTATTTATAAATAAAATCACTTTAAATTCATAATATATAACAAATCGGCTGTCCTATTTCAAAATATAGTAACTGTAAAATTTGTGTACTATTTTTTTTCTTGTATTATTCCAAGGACAAAAATTATATCTGACAATTACAGAAATAGATTTATAAAAAATACCTGTTTAAATAATGCTTTATAATTATACAAAAGTTTTGGCCATAGATAATTTTATATAGCATTATATACTAAATTTTTCCAAAATAAAATTTACAAATTTCTAAATTTTTTTCGGATTTAACATTTTACATTTTTTTACATTGTAAATTTCCATTTTTTGGAAAATAAAATTAAAATTTTGCTTTATGAAATAATGACTTTTGTTAAAATGCAGTGTACTTTCTTAACTATTGACGTTCTTTAAGATATAAGCTCATCGCGATGTTACACTCATCAAGAGCTTTCATTTGAGTACCCACATGCATTTTGATATATTTTTCATATATTCATATACATAAATATATAAAATATATGAAAAATTGATGTGGGTATTCAAATGAAAGGTCTCGATGAGTGTAACATCGGGATGAGCTTATATCTTTAAAAATGTCAATAGTTCACGAGCTACAAGGTCATATCTTAATTATGTATCTAGAGTATTTTTGAATGCTGCCTAAATACTAATCATAATTAATTAACTATTGGTGAAAATAATATGCAATCTTGAAAAGGCACAAATTCAAGCCATAACCTTTGCAATGACACTAAATTTCACTAAAAAAAACGATTTTATCGGATGACTATCCTGGAGACAAAATTTTTTCTTATTCTTTAATAATACAGATTATAGCTATTAAGAAATAAAACTGTAAATTTGAAAGAATTTCCCTGTAATTTTTTTTTCCATGCACATTTTTCAGTACTTTAAATAAACAACCTGATATTTTTATCTCATAAACATTTTTTTAATTTTATTTTTTAAGTCAAAATAAAATTTTTCAGGTAATTCTTAAAAAATTAAAGAAATATCAGTTACTACATTTCAAAATTGGACAGTTGAAGCATCGAATAACATCGCTCCGTATTTTTCTTATATCTCTCAAGCTTGAGCTTTAAATCTTGAGATCCTCCGATCCGTAACCCACTTACCTTTCAGCTACTTGCCCTGAAAACCTCAAGTAATTTTCAGGATTTCAAAGTATTTCCCGTGGCTCTAACTCTAGACCTAGACTACTCGGAACTCGATCTCCACTTGCATTTACAATTTGTACGTTACATCCATTAGCGGAAAGAATAGACCGATAGCTTCTTTAATATTTTTTAAATTTCTTTTCATTTAAACTTGATCGAACAGTGTAATTTAAGTTCTTTTCTATTGTTAAAAAAAATAACAATTAAACAAAATAAGAAATACCATTTTGAATCAATAAAAAAAAATTTTTTAGTTTAAAATTTTGATCTTTTAAATTTTCCAAGCGGCTAAAAAAATTTTGACTTATTAGAAAATTTTATTCAACAACTTAAAAATTAATAATTGTTAACTTGAATTAAATCAAAATTTTTGCGCCGCTCGGGAGCTATAAAAGATTCAAATTTTTAAGTTTAAAATTTAAACCAATAGAATTTTTCTATCATTTGGTGAGAATTTTACTCCAATTTTTTTTCATAAAGTTTTTTGATTTGAATTATAAATAAAATAGAACGAAATAAAATAGTTTTTTGAAAACTAAAAACAATAAAAGTTTTGTTCTTTGAAATAAAATATTTAAAGTGTATTTTGTTGTTTCGTTCATTGATAGTAAAATGAGTAGAGGAATGAGTTTGATAGCATATAGTAGATAGTAGATGGTAGAGATCGAGTGAGATTTCCGTAACAAACAAATGCGATTTTTATACGAAACCGTCAAGAGTCGATTTTGCAGGATGGACGAGTTCGATTGTAGAAACTCTTTTATTTCTTTGTAAAAGAATTTATGTGTGGATGTTACAGTACTGCACTGTTCTCTACTGTAGATATATTGTGCAGTATCTTTGTATGTACCGAGGTGAGCTGTTTTTGCATTCACGTAGCGAGCTCACTGTATCGTGGGCTGAGTGAAACTACGAGGGTTGATGTTAAACTTTTATATTTTTTTTCTGTCGCCTGGAATTCGAATTTAAAAGCGCGACTGTGCATTGCACAACTGCTGTTGTGTATAACTACGCTGTATATGTATACTATTCAAATATATATCTATAAATAGTATGTAGTATGTACTATATAGTATATTGTGGATTGTATATAGTATGGCGGAATAGCCTGCCAAAAATATTCAGTATTCTGTGGACATGCACCACGAAAAATGCTGCGAATTAACGTAACAACTGTGTGAAGTTGGAAAGGAAAATTGCTTCGATAATATACTAGAGCTAAAAAGTTTCGATAAGAATTTAAATGCGAACGATAATTGTTTATTTAATCACTACCCACTGGTTAATTATTAATTCAATTAAACAGGCTGCATTGAGAACTACTTTTTTTTTTTAATATTTTTTAGAATTTTGAAAAAAAATGACACTGTTGGAACGCAAATTTTCAATTATAATATTAAATCGCATTTTTCTCATTAAATTAAAAAGGAAAAAGATTTTTTTTTATCTTTGGAATTTTGTAACTTCATAACAGCTTGTCTTATTGATGAGACCAAAATATATTTTCGTAGAGAATTAACTTACTAGGAATTGAAGTTTATTATATTTGCTAAATTATTCAAAGTTATTTTGAAATTTTTATTTGAATTTTTGATACTTTTTTGTATTAACTTGTCTAAGATCAAATAAAAAATTTTAACGCAAGCTTTTCGTAACACTATCTTGTTCCATTTATTCATTACTAGCAACCTTACTGTCACTATTATATGTGACTGCCGTGACTTGTGAACTATAAAAAATTGAAATTTTGCTTTATTAAATAATGAATTTTGTTAAGTTCCACTGTACTTCTTAAATATTGACGATTTTAAAGATATAAGCTCATCCCGATGTTACATTCATCAAGAGCTTTCATTTGAGTACCCACATGTATTTTTGATATATTTTTCATATATACATATACATATAAATATATAAAATATATGAAAAATTGATGTGGGTACTCAAATGAAAGGTCTCAACGAGTGTATTATCGGGATGAGCTTATATCTTTAAAAATGTCAATAATTCACAAGATATTTGTTGAAATGCCCTGTAGTTTCTTAAATATTGACGATTTTAAAGATATAAGCTCATCCTGATGTTACACTTATCAAGAGCTTTCATTTGAGTACCCACATGCATTTTGATATATTTTTCATATATACATATATAATATATATA